TGGTGTAATATTTAGTAAAAGTTACACCGATGTTATTTAAACCCTCTTATTATATATATATATATATATATATATATATATATATATTTTGTTGTTGAAAAAAACTAGATATATCAAGGCATCATAATGTAGAAAAAAAAATTCTAATTAGGTTAGCACCTCAATCTACACTAATCATCTACAACACATAAAAAATACACTAAAATATAAAATATAAAATACAACTACAAATGTTAGTTACATCTCAACCTATTAGATCCTATAATGAAAAATACCATCCCTATCCCTAAAGTAAAAAGACACTACACAAGAGAGAATAGAAGTTCACTCGTAAAATCTGAGGTGTCAAAGACCAAACCCCACTAAATTATTAACACAACCATTTTTCTCTCTACAAACATGGGAGAAACCAAATCTCATACTCCTAACATACAGTCACCAGAAAACTAAGAAAGATTGTAAAAAATCATGATGACTAATGACGAGTTCAACTCTATCAAAGAGACATTTAGCCATTATCCCGAGCAATACAATGAATCTAACAAGTTTCTAACATCCAAACCAAAAAATTGTTATTACAAGTGATTTCACATTTGTGTTTTTTAAGTGGGAATCATAATTTAATATCGGTATTAAGTATGAAGTGATAATTGAAAGTTGTATTTTATCTCTGATATGCGCTTATTCGGTGGGACTGGGATGCCTCTTAAAGTCTTAATTATAAAAACAATAAAAATAAATAGATGAATGAATATATAAAATTATCAGTATGTTTGCGTGGTGCCCAAGATGAGCCTTAATTTCTTGGAGGCCACGTCCACGTTCCTGTTATTAAGGACACCAACCTTAATCTAGGCTCAAGCCTCAAAAGTCAAAACACCCATTGTTATTGAAAAAAAAATAAATAAATAAAAAATTAATGGCTCCAATGGGGAAGAACAAAAAAAAGCAGCAGCAGAAGCAGCAACCTTCAGTCAACAAAGAAGTCCCCAAATCCAAATCCTGGCTCGACCTTCCAAACCAACTCGTTAACAGAATAGAAGGGAACCCAAATCTGGACAAAAACATCAGTTTCGGGGGCATAATCAAGTCATGGAGAACAACACCAAAGCACTGCAATCCAGATTCCAAGCTTCCCTGGCTTCAACTCTCCAACCCTGATGGCACAAACATTGAAAAATATCGCATGCACATTGCACAACGTGGCTCCATCAGAACTTCATTTGCATGCATGCCCTCGGGGTGCTGGTGCAGATACTTCCTCATAAAACTTCCAAGGTACCCTTGGAAGCATTACGTGGGGTGTTCCAATGGCATCCTCATAGCCGAGGCTGAACCCCTTTACGTGTACCATCTGTGGAATCCAACGCACAGAGAAATGTTTCGTCTCCCTTTATGGGACCCCAAGGTGCCAGTAAAACTCGCAGTGCTTTCCTCACCACGTGAAGATCCAAATTGCACGGTTATGATGCTAACGGGAATTAGCCACCCCGCTTTTGCATTCTATAAACTGAGAAGAGGCTCTAATAATAGTATGTGGATAACATCAGATTCAGAACATCAATGGACCATGGAAGATTGTACCCTTACTGAGCCATTAGGTCAACTACAGCAGGCTATGCAAATGCAATTCGCTGATGCCATTGGTTTCAACGGTAAGTTCTATGCTTTGAGTGTTCAGGGTAGTCTCGCGGTTATAGAAGTCGTTGATTCTTCCCCTAGAGTCACGGGTTTAAGTGCTACAAGGATGGTTCCTTCGGTTTCATCAAAGCACTTCAGAGAATATCTGCTTGAGTCTGAGGGAGAAATATTGCTGGTTTATCTTATATCGAGAAAATCATCGGTGCACAATGTGGATGGTGTTGAGGTTTATCGACTCAATTTTGCTAGGCTCTCTTGGCTCAAGTTGGAGACACTTGGGGAAAGAGCAGTGTTTGTGGGGAGTAATTGTAGCATGTCTGTGATGGCAAGTGAAGTAGGATGTAGGAAGAACTGCATCTATTTTAGGCACCCTGTGGATGATGATCTATGGTGGGTATATGACATGGAATCAGGCAACATATCCCTCGGTTGGAGTGAGACAAATCCAGCAACATCTGCAATTTGGATTGAACAAATAGATGAGTAAATATTTCGGAGGATAAAACTTATTTAGATACTGTTTGTTAAGTGTTTTTTAATTTGTATTGTTGAATTAATTGAAATTTTATGTTGGTAATTTATGTTGATTTGTAAGGTAATGCAACTTAATGAAATAAATTTTATTAAATGATTAGGGATCGAATAGTATTAAAAATATTTAAGGGACTGTGTTTAAATTTTGTCTGAAATCATAAGTTCATAAAACATCAATGTGATTAATGTTGTGTAACTAGTTGATTTATAATGATAATATGTTGAAATGAAATTCATCATCCTATGAAATCATAGATATAATTTTTTCAATATAGAGACAACTAGGTTTTTTTTTTTTTTTTTTATTTATTTATTGTATATGTAACAAAATGTTACTTCGATCAAAACCATGATTTACTGGGCAAAATTAATTCTCTGCAAATTTGACAAATATCTTGGCATAGTATTCGTAGCCCATTTCTACTTGTTAGACGTGATTCCATTTGCTCAGACATTTTTAAAGGATAAAACTAATTACAATTATTTTTTTAATATGTTGAGTGTTACTGACTAGATTATTTAGGTCAAATTTCAATTTTAATTAAAAAATAATATATAAATATTTATGATAATATGTTCAATTTTTATCCTATAAATATAATACTTTTTATTAATGAAATTGTTTTTATAAAATAAAGATGCTCTAAAATTAAAAAGAAAAAGTTGTCACGCATATATAATGAGTCACGTGAGCAAAACCATTAATTTTACACTTTGGTTGCTATCCATACGTTTTAATTAGATGTTGGACCAAGGTCAACGTGATGTAACACGTTAACACATGTCATGTAGGCACAACTATAAAGTTTAATAGAAATCACTTAACATAGGGACTATATCATCCAATGCTTAAAACACAAGAAAGCTCCAAATTTTAGTTTCATCATGAACACCTATGTCATTCTTGAGTAATCATTGATGATAGAGAGGAAATACCTTGCACTTCCCAAGGATGGAACTTGTGAAAGCCCCCAACAATTTGATGTAGTCCAACGTAACCTTCATTGTGTTCACTACCTTGGCAAATTTCAGTTTGTGTTACTTCCCAAACACATAACGTTCACAAAATTGGAGAGGTTGCATTTGATGGTTACCTAATAACCCCTATTTGCATAGTATCTCCACTTCTCTCTCACTTATGTGGCCCAAAAGCATATGCCATAAATTGTTCTTAGAATTTTCAGCTACACAAACAATGCCACACTTTTCATAGTAGAACCTTGAAGGATGTAGAGGTTTCATTGCTTGGTTCCCTGCATTACCACAAACATGCTCTTCCCCTTAATCTACATCACTCCACCTTCTAACACAACAACTAAAACCTTTTGTATTGATAGCTACTATGGAAATAAGGTTTTTCTTCAAGTCTGGAAAATCATGAACATTGGTCAATGTTCTCATAACTGCATCATGCATACTAATTTGTACATATCCAATGCCCACTATCTAACAAGACCCATCATTCCCTATCAGCATATTACCACTGGCCTTCTCTTTGTATGTCATGAACCAATCTTTGTGTGGACTCATATGAAAAGAATAATCTAAGTCAAGAACTGAGTATTTAAAATGATGTGGACAATCATCAACAAAGGGCACCGATTTAGAATCTAATGATGTACATCATTCTAGATGGTGGCAGCAACAAAATTATTGTTCCTCTTCTTGGGACAATTATTCTTACTGTGATTTAGTTCTTTGCAATAATCACAATTATCCTTTGAATTGACCACAAACAACAAAACAAAATAATCAATCTAACTTCAAATATCCACCAATAGGTACAAAATTGTGATATATCTCAATTGAGCTCACGATACCAATTTGTTGTGCCAAATTGAGTAAAATAGACGACATATAAACAATAAAGAACTAACGTAAAATAAATGAAGGATGATCTCTTAACCTCTTACACTATGTTTACTTGCAACTCCCTTACATTATTTCATATATACAAAGACCTAATTGACTAATGAACTAAATGAACAATAATTGGATAAATAAGGACCACGTGTCATAGTCAATACCTTCGACAGTTCAACCTCTAACTCGATTTGAGCATGAGCACCTTTTTTCCAAAATTCATTTGATTCAAGTTGTGATTGGGGAAATAACATTATTAAGTATTTATATTTACATTACTAGAATTTTTCTTATTACATACGATTTTTATGCGAATTTTTATACAAACATTATTCTTATGAATTTTTTTGCAAAATTTCATCTCCAAGTAATACTTTCGTGGATAATATGTTTTTGCGAATTTTAAAATTTGTAAGAAATTTTCTTACGAAAAAAATTCACAGGAAAGTTTTCTATGAAAAAAATTTGCAAGAAAGTTTCTTGAGAATTTTTTCGCAAACAAGAAAATTCCTTATGAAAAAAATTTAAAAAAATTACTACAAATTCTATTAATAATTCTCCAACTTTCAAATGCTCACAATGAATACATTCAAAGCATTAGGAAATTTGCTTCCACGCTTCCAACCATTAATACATTACCTTTTAAACTCTTAGATTATATATTATAAATCTAACACTTAACCATACAAATCAACTTGTAAGGTAAGTGTTGCCCCAACTTATATACTCTTTAATTGTTTTATTTTCAATGATGTGTGACTTGAAGTTTTCTTTAAATATTAATTAGATCATGTTTTAGAAAAATGATTAATTCATCATATTGAACAACAAAATTATATTATTGTAAATTATTTTAACTCTTAAAATATTCAATATTCTAAAAAAACAGTTTTTTATTAAATAATTTTATTTTAAAAACTATCATTAAATTAAAACTCATCATCATTAATTTATACATTTAATTAAAATAAATATTTAATTTATTAATATTGTAAATTAAAAAAATTATGAAATATTTATAAATATTTTAGTAAAACAATATTTTATTAAGTAAATACTTTTAATTTTAAAATTTTATAAATTATCATTAAATTAAAACTCATTATCATTAATTTATCATATTTATAAAATTATATATATATATAATTTAATTAAAATAAATTAAAATTAAAATTAATTATAACGATATATTTATAAATAATTTAGTAAAATAATACTTTTAATTAAAAATCTTTTAGTTCTTAAACTTATAAATTTAAACATTTTTTTTATTTTTCTTGCGAATTAAAATTGGCAAAGAAATTCGCGAAAAAAGTTACCTGCGAAATTTTTATACCATTTAGTAAACATTACCTGCGAATTTAGTTTTATAAGAAAATCCTCAAGAAACAAAATAAAATTTTTACAATATTTTCTGCAAATTTTTACCATGAAATTTTTTTTAATGATCATTAAAATTGTAGTAAAATTTACAAAAATTTCTTGTAGATTATTTTTCATAAAAAAATTTGTAAATTATTTTTTCGCAAATAAATTCGTAAATTTTTTTATGAAATTATTATTGCAAAAAAACTCACAAAAAAATTTTACAAATATTTTTTTAAAAAAAATTTGTAGAAAAATAACATTTTTCTAATAGTGTCAATATATATATATATATATATTTTATAACATGAGGGTTTATTCCACAATTTTGGTTACAAAATTTAGCGAAATAAGCTAAAATATATTTTTAAAATCAATGTAAAAAAGTATTAAAATAAAGTTGTAAGTTTTTTTTGTCAAATCAAATAAATTTATGGTAAACTCTTGCAAAATTCTCCTTGACGCGATTGCCTCTTTCATGAAATTGATGTTTCAGCGAATTGAGCCTTGTAGTTGTTAATGGATAACGAGGAAAATGGCTACAAACAAAACAACCCAACAATGCAAACGAACATTTCCACCCACAAAGTCGCACGCAAAGATGTTTTTTAATACTTCCTCTATACTTTTTGAAAGCAGCGTGTTGACGTAAAAAGTCTTCTAAAACTTGTGAAAGAGACGCGTTTTAAAGGAAATATTTTCGATCTTTGGTTTGCTTCATCAAGAGACCCAACCATATGACCGGCCTTTACCCTATTATTTATTGTTCACTTGCTTTCTGGTTTAATTACTCTGTCATTCATGTTTGACATTAGGCGAGCTTCTTGGCAATTACCCAATGCAATCACGCAACATTGTATCGGTTGGTGGTGAATTTGTTGGCAAAACAAGCTACATTTGGAAAAGAATAGAAAGAAAAAAGGAATCTTATGTGCTAACAAAGTTGACAAGAACCTCTGATTCCAGAGATAAAAGGCATGTTTTTAGACAACCACATTCTGTTGCTATGTAACAATATATTCACATAGTTGTTCTGTGGTTTCTTAGTTTACCCTAATGATATGTTACAAGAAAAAAAAGAAGATAGAAAACGGCATTGGATCGGTATATATCAATAAAGAATTGGAAGTCATTTCTGGCACTAACTTAGAGTTTCATTTCAACTTTCCTTTAATTATATTACATAATGGCAAGGCGAGTTTTTAACATGAAATTCCTGAAAGAAAATGAATTAAACCAGAAAATATTACTAAGCTAAAGATAACGTGCGACACACATGTAGAATTTCACTTCAAGACAAAAAGAACAACGGAAGAAAATGTACTGCTAAAAATATAAAACTTAATATGTATGAAAATATGCAGCTGATGGAGAAATGACTTCAAGAGTTGTGTTGGATTGTGAGGATCCGGTGAATAAGCTACTGCCTGAAGATGAGGACACAGGTTGGTGGTTATTTGCCAAAGCAGGAATACTAGAAGGAACATAGCTGAAAGATGCATTATAGGTAGATGCTGGCACCCTTGGTGTGAGAGTGGGCAATGGAGCTTCAAAATTAAGCACCTGGACAACTTGCCTAATTGTAGGCCTCACAAGAAAATCTATTTGAGTACACCAAAGGCCAACAATCATTAACCTCTCCATTTCTTTCTCATCAAAGTGTCCATACAAGCTTTGATCAGATGCTGTAAGGATAGCACCCATGTCATGTAGTTCCCAAACCCAATCCACCAAATAGAGTTGTTCTTCATTAAGACTTGGCTCAATTGCCTTTCTACCACATGCTATCTCCAAAGCCACGACTCCAAAACTGAATACATCCGACTCCCTACTAGCCTTGCCTCTTGTGGCAGCTTCAGGAGGCAAATACCCAATTGTTCCTGCTAAACCTGTTGTTTTTGATCCTGTCCCATGATCCATTAGTCTGGCTAACCCAAAATCTCCAAGCTTTGCATTAAAATTAGAATCCAACATAACATTGCTGGATTTTATGTCTCTATGAAGCACACATTCTTCCCACTCTTCATGTAGGTATAATAATGCTGAGGCTAGGCCTCTAGCAATATTATATCTCACCTTCCATGTCAGCAGGCCTTTTCCTTTAAACAGATAAGAATCCAAGCTTCCATTTTCCATGAACTCATAAATCAGAAGTAGGTCATTGTGCTGATGGCACCACCCAAGTAGTTGAACCAAGTTTTTATGCCTCAGTTGACTAATGATCTTCACTTCAGACGCATACTCCTTCACCCCTTGTCTTGATCCACGAGATACCTTCTTAATTGCAACAGGGGTGTTCAATTCTCTCATCAATCCCCTATAGACTGCCCCAAAACCCCCCTCTCCAATTTTGTTTTCTCTTGCAAAGTTATTAGTTGCCCTTGCAAGTTCTTCAAAGGAAAACTTCTTGGGCAGAGACATTCTTTCGAAATCATTGTCCATAGCATGGTCAAAAAGTGACACATCCTCCAAACCTCTACTCCTCAGCATCCATCTCACAAGTAAAACTAGCCCCAAAATAACAATTAAAACACCTACACCAACGCTAAGCCCTATCACCAACCCTCTTTTGCTTCCACCCTTGTGTGATTCCAAGTCTAAACTAGAGTTGAAGGACCATGAGCTAAGAGTATGTGGCTCATAAGTAAACCCCGTTGCTGAAGAGAAACCAAACTCAACCCATTCAGGTAAGACATCACTCAGATTCACCACAGCGAACAAGTTCTGTTTAATTGTAACATTATCCTTATATCCGGTGAAGGTGACACTTAATTTGTTTGAACCAGAATCGTAACTAACATCAGCTTCATATCCTCTCTCATCCATGCTAGCGAACCATTCTGTAGTGTCATAAGTGCTAATAGAATTAACATCAATACCCACATGGTAATATTTCGGATCCCAGTCATTAACTAAGGTATCAAATTCAACGGCCACAAAAGGATGCTTCTCTGCGTAATTTAGACTCTTCAGTTGCTCAGGGGTCGTAAGACCAATACCACTTCCATCTCTTGGATTAGGTTGTGGAAGGTTTGGCTGTGCCAGAAAGAAGGTGATGCCATCTCCGTACGGGGTATTATTTGGGGTGCTGAATCTGTTGATGGTAAAGGTGAAATTGGTAGTGAAATCTGCGACCCTTCCCGTGTTCTTGTCCCAAAGATGCAATTGTTCGTTATATATGACTCTACCATAACTATCTGCCTTAGACATGGTGAGTTGGAGGACTTCTCTGTCAACTTCGACATCTCCTGAAATATTGAAGGCGTTTCCCGTGTCACCAAATTGCTGATAGTTGAATGCTAATGAAGCTACACGAGGAGTTACAAGAACAAGAAGCAAGAGTGTTAATGTTACATGAAAAGAGGCACGTACATAACTTTTCTTACAGTAAAAAGATGCTGCCATGGCTGGAGAATTGATGTTGAGTACCGTGGAAAACTGGAAATGGAATGAAATCGTACAAATTTGGCTTGTTCGGGGTAGCTGCATGTAGTTATTGTTGCTTGTTTGGTTGAATGAGTCTGATGGTTTAGTTGACATAATCAAATAAGATGCAAGTCAAGGAAATTTATCTACTTAGATTATGTAGGTTTATTCTGCATTAGGACATTCTTTTAATTTTCCAAATTGAACGATTTCAAAACATTAAACTATGGTAAACTGTAAGTCAGAAATACCATTTTTAAATAGAAGTTGTGAATTGAGCCACGACTTTCATTTTCGATTTCTATTTTAATTATGTTTTGCTGAAGACATAATTTCGTACATGACTTCTTAACTCTTTTTTTTGTAATTTTTTAAAATAAAATCATAACATGGATCATTTATGACATTTTATTTTATATTTTAAAAATTGAGATCATAAAACATTACATAACTTTCATTTTTGACTTTTTTTTTTATTAAAGTTGTGAACAGCTCATGAGTCAAAACTTCCTTTTCAAATTTTATTTTTTATTTAGGTACTAAATACAAACGTTATTTTTATTAAATATAATTTAAGTTGTTACGAAATTAATAAATTTTTATATTTATTTTTATAATTTTTTTTTATATTTTTCTTAAATTAAAATTATTATTTTTAATCTTTACTTTTTATGTGATTATTTATTAAAAGTGTAAGTATTCTTTATGATATCATGTTAGTTTAATTTGTCCTCTTGAGTATAATTTTGACACGTAGAAGTAGAATACAAGGAGTATATCAGCTATCAAAATCAATTGGCCGTTCATTTCGTCAATCTCGGCCTGCAAACCACAGTAAACAAATATTATCTGGTGTAGCCCAGTTTCAACTTTGAAGCGCTCAATGCTTCAAGCAGATGAATTTTGATGGAGAATTTAAATAAAATAATTTTTTAAAAATTTTAAATAATTTAGAATAAAATATTTTGATTAGATAAAAAAATTTGAAATTTAAGTATTTATATTTTTTAATATTGCAGAATTTGAATTTTTTTTAAATAAGAATTTAAAATTTTTCATATTTTTTGTTTGAATATATTTTTAATTCTTTAAATTTAAGATAAACTTATTTTTAGTTTTTTAAATTTAAAATTAGTATTCTTTATTTTTGTAATTTCAATTTTTTTTTAGTTTTTATATTCAAATTTTGTTAAAGAATGTGTATTACATAAAATCTATCTATTGATGTCTTGTTAGTTAAAATATTACATAAACCAGTTAATGTTTCATAACTGTCTTAATCCATCATTTTTAGATATGTTATTAGTGATCTAAGATATTAAAACAATATTTTTAAAAATTATATGACTAAAAACAATAAATTTAAATTTGAGAGATTAAAAATAAATTTACCCTAAATTTAAAGGACTAAAAACATATTTTTTTTACTTTCTTATCTTGCTTGTATATATATATATATTATTTCTTTCTCCTATCTCTTAATTATTAAATATTTTAAAATATTTTTTAAATTATTAAATATTATCTAATATTAAGTTTTAAAAACCACTAAATATTTATAAATTGACTAATATTTATTTTTATAAAATTTAA